CGCAGTTCGAAGTTCCCATGAAAGGGAACGTCTCAGGTTACTTATGTAACCATGGTTCCTTGAGTAGGGAACGAGACACTGCGTCCTCTAGGTTCCCCATAGCGACCCCTAGAGGACGCAGTTCGAAGTTCCCATGAAAGGGAACGTCTCAGGTTACTTATGTAACCATGGTTCCCTGAGTAGGGAACCAGACACTGCGTACTCTATGTTCCCCATAGTGACCCCTAGAGGACGCAGTTCGAAGTTCCCCTGAAAGGGAACGTCTCAGGTTACTTATGTAACCATGGTTCCCTGAGTAGGGAACCAGACACTGCGTACTCTATGTTCCCCATAGCGACCCCTAGAGGACGCAGTTCGAAGTTCCCATGAAAGGGAAACTTCATTAACCAGTCTGTCAGTCTGTAAAATCATCAAGTCGAAGCAAGTTCCCAAAGACGCGTGTGAACTCTGCAAGATTCTTCATTTGTTTCCCTGCTCATTAAAGCATGTAGACTCTGGTGTCGACGCCAAAGTCTAACCGTGGGTGGGGAGGCCTGCATGCATGAATAATTCAGTGTGTGTGTGTGTGTGTGTGTGTGTGTGTCGCGATGGAAATTTGATCACCTGTTCCTCTGACAGTGGACTCACACAGGTGACATTATACGGGTTTGGGGTGAGATTTCTACAGGAGCTGATGCTGATGTCCTGACCCGCTGGATCATGGTAAGCTGGCACGTTTCTCCTTGTTTACACACTTGACTGGTCAGAATGGTTTTGTGTTTGAGTGAGAATCCGTCTGAACAGGTCTGTACTTGAGCATTAAAGGTGTGGGTGTGACGCTCAGGTAAATAATTAGCGCGGGCGTTTGAGCTTTCTCTTTCTTTACACTAGAACTCCAGCATCAGATCCATCTCCAGCGATACTCTCAACAGCTGTGAGTCTCTCTGCATTTGTTTTAATAATGGACGAGGAGAATGCATGCATGAGTGGATTTGATCTAAATATCTTGATTATTATCCTTCGGAAATTATACCACAAGAGTTTTGCAGGTGTCACTTAACCTGCTGTTCTTTAAAAAAAAAACATCTACAGGTTCCAGGTTACAAATTTAGGCGATGAAAACGTTGTGGGAACATTGTCGCTAAAACGTTAAAATGTGCAGTTTTCCTGTCATGGTTAGAACGTTATGCAAAGGTTACAGAAAGCGTTTCCTAGAACGTTCAAGCTACAAATGAGAATTTTGAGAATGTTGAGAAATTCAAAGAATGCTTTGAATGTTTATCAAATATAAGAAGATTCCATAAACGTCACTTCAGGAACGTGTATATTTGGGAGCTTTGGGAGCTTGGAAACGCGTTTCTGAATGTGCTCTTGTTCACGGTGTTGGATTGGGTTCATCTGATCCTCTGAAACCCAATCCAGCTCTGCCTCCCTCCGTGTCTCTCCGCGCGCGTGCTGCAGCGCACTCAGAATTAAGCATCGCCCGAAGCCTCCGTTAATGAGCCGCTCGTCTGATCGCTCTGATCGATCCGGAGCTCCACTGAGCCGCAGGGCTGGATCACTTCACGAAAGACGCGCTCCTCTGGGTGTTTCGCTCGCCGCAGACCGTGAGTTTCTCAACAGCTCTGATGCATTTCTGCCTAATGGACTGCATGAGATTCTGTAGAACGACTTTTGAGAATAGCATGCACTTTGTTTCCTATTCATACTTTTCCTCGTTTTTATTTGTTCTGTAACTGTAACGAAATGTTCTCTCAGACTGTCTATTTCTATAGAGAGAGAACACTTTGATAAAAGTTATTAGATATAAAGTTAAACTTTGAATAATGCCTTCCCAAAATACTTGTTTTAGAATAAACAAGTTTCTCCTTAAAGGGGCAGTTCACCAAAAAAAAAAAAAATGGAAATTTGATCATTTACTCCAAAATGTTTGTTCCAAAACCTGTATGAGTTTCTTCCTTCTGATGCTCTGAGAAAAATATACTTTGAAGAATGCTGGTAACCAAATAGTTGGCGGTAGCCTTTGTCTGGCTTTTTTTTCCATGCTATGGAAGTCAATGGCTGTTTAGCAGAATTTTCATTTTTTTGTTGAAACTATCCTTTTAAGCTTCAGTGACAGTGATGGTTATCACCGGTTTAGTACCAGAAACTGTGTTTAGCATAGTTATATTGAGGGATTTATGTGTCTGTTTTTGTTTTTTACTAACAACTGTAAGCTGAGGCTGATTAAATGGCAGATTAGTGGGCTTTGCTTGTGCAAATGCTTCTATGTTGCATTTCTGAATGCTGTTTTTCATCACAAACTACATCATTTGAGCGAAAAGTTGAATTGAAAAATGACCATGAGATTGAGAATGTGTTTGTGTTTGGTCTTTGGCTTTGATGACAGCAGCACTTGCATGATCCGATTCATCGGTGACCTAGAAATAGTGCAGAATATTAGACATTTAGGGTTTTGCATCCTATATGTTTTACATTTTTCAAAATCCTGCAACTTTGTTTCCAAGAATTAAGGCTGACGTACTTGACTTTTGCACCAATTTTGGCTCTGATTTGCAACGTTATTTGGTGAAAATCTCTGTTTTTTTAACTTTAGACTATAATTTCGAGCATGAGCTTAGTTTATATTGGTTTACTCATTCAAAGCATTTCCAATTAGCATGTTAGCATTTAATGAACAAGTTAAGAGCAATTAACCAGTGATGGGGGAAACAAACCTTTTCGAAGCTCTGAATCAATTGCTCCAGTTGCTTTGCAAAATGATTAGCTGTTCCAAGCGCTCGAAACACCATAACACAACAAAACTCGTATTGTTTGTTTTATGGAGGACTTGTCTAAACAGGCCAATCAGGAACTATTAACTTCTTTTTTTAATTAATGAATAATTAAAAATGTCTACAAATTTATAAACCTGATCTGAGATCAGGTAAAAACCGGTTCAGCTGAACCATTGAAATTTCGAAACTAAGCCTCGTTTGCTGAAATCATGTGACTTCGGGAGTTTGATATGCGCTCCGAAGCACCGATTCGAAACCATTCACAAAGGTTTCGAAGCTTCGTGAAGCAGTGCTTCGAAAGCGCCCATAAATGCCATGCCAGATGCCGGTTCTGTTCCACATTTGCAGTGTAACGATGGCTTTTGTTGATGTAACAGTCTATATACATGTGAATGATTAAAGTAACCGGTTAAATGTGACCCTGGAGCACAAAACCAGTCATAAGGGTCAATTTTCGAAATTGGGATTTATGCATCATCTGAAAGCTGAATAAATGAGCTTTCCATTGATGTATGGTTTGTTAGGATCGGACAATATTTGACTGTTCAACTATTTGAGGGTGCAAAACATCTAAATATTGAGAAAATCATCTTTAAAGTTGTCTAAATGAAGTTCTTAGCAATGCATATTACTAATCAAACATTTCGTTTTGATATATTTACGGTAGGAAGTTTACAAAATATCTTCATGGGACATGATCTTTACTTAATATTCTTAATGACATAAAAGAAAAATTTATAATTTTGAACCATTCGATGTATTGTTGGCTATTGCTACAAATATACCCCAGAGACTTAAGACTGCTTTTGTGCTCCAGGGACACAAATGTAAATATTTGAGATAAAAACAACACATATGCATAAGGTAATTATGCAGGTTAATTTCCGGGGGCAAATTTTGCCCCTTCATTTCTGCCTCTGGTGTGTGTTACAGATCAGACTCTCAGGATTTCACGTGTGTTTGTGTGTGTGTTTGCAGGCTGAGAGTCCACAGGAGCGCAGTCCAGGGGTGTTGAGTCGCATCGGGAGCTGGCTGTCGTGGGGTTGGGGCAGAGATGATCCCACCTCCCAAACACAGCAAGAGGAGGACCACGGAGAAACCAGAGCAGACGAGACAGATCCCGCAGAGGCGAGCCCAACCCTCGACCGGAATGCCAAACATCTGAGACTCGAACGCAGTCAGTCGCTTGAGAGGAAAAGGCCACCTGAACGCTTTGAACAAATGGGCCGGAGGAGATCTGGCAGGAGGAGGCGGAGCTCTCACGGGGATGGGGACGGAGCTAAATCCCCAACCAATCCCCAACCTGAAAGCCCTGTAGCAACCAGTTTGACGAGCGGCCCGCGGAAAGCATGCGCTGACTCAGCTTTTGAGGAGGCGGCAAACAGCCTTCCAGGAGCCTCCGGAGCAGAAGTGCCAAACTCAGGTAAAGGTGAGGATGTCGTCCGAGAGGAATGGGCCCAAGCGAGCCTGAGCGAAGACGCTGATTTGCCGAACTCGCCGGATTCGCTCGTCCAAGCGGCGCTGGTTTATTCAGATATGGACGAGGAACGGGTGGTGAGGCTGACGGAGAGCGCCGAATCCAAACGCAGGAGCATCAAAGTGTCTCACAGCGAGGTGGTCTTCGCTAAAAAGGTGGTGGTCGCCTCGGAGGACCAAAATGAAGAACAAAATGTGACTTTTAAAGACACCAAACGGCCTAGATCTGATGAAAGAGCAAGGTAAATTTACCTGTTTGACCTGTTTATCGCTGTGCTTACAGGAATAACGTACAATAATCTTGGGTTTGATTTGATCTGAGGGCCTTTTAATGCAAAAGTCGCTGTTTGGACTTGAATCGGAAGCGTCGGAAATCTTTCTTGAAGATTATCAGGACAAAGCGTCATGTGAAATACGTTCTCTTAGTTGGCTATCAGGTACTTGCCATTCCTCTGGGCTGTAAACATTAAAAATAACCTGCTGGTTAATGATCCTGACCTGGTTCCACGAGCTATCTGCATTGAAAAGAGAAAGCTTTTTCATGACAATTAAGTGTTTACATAGTTAAATGCCAGTTTTTCTAGATGTCAGCCTTGCATTTTTCTTCTGTATGCATCAGCAGCTCTTAAAGGGATAGTTCACCTAAAAATAACCGGCATTCCAACCTGCTATGGTTTTCTTTTGCTGAAAACAAAAGGAGATATTTTGACGTATATTAAAGTATAATTCGCCCCTTCCACAAATCAAGGTCTTAAATTGGAGCAGAAAGTCTTAAATTCATCAAATCGTGGCAGTGTTGCACGCAATGCAAATGTCAGTATTTTGTGTTGTTATGTCTTGTTTTCCAGTACAAATATCTAAACATCCTTAAATAAAGATACATTTACTGGAGATACTAAGTGAAGAAATGAACTGAACAAAATTAAGTGAGTTTATGCCTAAAGCAAGAACAAATATGTGGGCTGATATTTGTCCTTTATCATAAATTCACCCCATTTGTATAAATTTCTCAAAAAAACAAGACTTCATATGTCTTTTTAGCATCCAACTTGATTTTATTTTTTTAGACATTTGCACTGGAAAATGACAAAAATACAAAAAGAACATTATACTTTTTTTGCAGTGTGATCAAAAGGTACATTAAGAGTGATTTCCATAGTTGAGCTATTTTTTGTGTGTAAAAGGAATTAAAAAAGCAATGTAGACCTGCTGGAAGTTGTATTTTCAGACTTTGAAGTGTTGCTAATTCAACTCATTTTGTTCTCCGACATTTACATTTTTAGAATTGTGTTCCCTTTAACTTATTCCTTAACTTTCTTTAAGAAGTCTTAAATTTGCCTTCATAAATCATGCAGAAACCCTGCAAAGGAAGAAGGGGAATTCAGTTTCTTAATGGATTTGTGGCTTGCTTCAAGCAGAGAAAGAACTGAAGAGTAGACAAAGCGAGAGAAATTGGAAAGAAAGACAATGAGTCAACAGCTAACGAAGGGAGTGGATGCTAATATGAATAATGTGAACTTGATTATGTAGACGAAATTCTTCCAAGGCACTCACGTGGTGAAATAAAAATGAAATGAAAAATGAACTGGGCTTAAATCATTACAACTAGTTAAAAGTAGATCTATGCGTTTCGGCAAAACAGCCTTCTTCAGGACACACATAATTTGCTCAAACAGGTATTCTTAAACTAGTGTTAATTAATGAATCATCAAAGACAGCTGGTTAATATGTGGGCGTGGCTAAGACTAGCCTCTTGTTACAAAGAGACAGAGAGAGAGAGAAGGGGGGGGGGATGACAAAAAATATATGCAGTTTATTATATATATATATATATATATGTGTGTAAATTTAAAAAACTATTGAAAAAAATTGGGGGGAAAAAAAATTATACATATAACAGTGTAGATATAAAATTGTACGTCATCAATAGTGCAAATTACAAAAATGGTAAAAATCAGTTTCTTCATTAACTCCTGGGGACTTGTGAACTTGATATTTGAATCAGTTTTGATCTTTATTCTTTGATATTTTACAGATTTCCAGAGGACAGAGTAGACGGCACCAATGTAAAGTCCAGTCATCACAAGGCCCAAATCGCAGACAAAATCAGTCTGTTCGAGAGAGGAGCCACCAGTGCAGTTAGTAGCTCTACAAACCTGCTTCGCCTGGATATTTCTCCAGCTCGAAATGTGGCCAGTCGTCTCAGAGATTTCACAGAACATGCCGGAACGCGGTCCAGTTCTGCACCTCCAAACCAAACGGTTAAAGAGAGGGCGAAGAATTTCGGCGCGGGGCGGAGGGGGGAAGAGCAGCTGACGTTGCCGTCTGGTCGTACGTTGAACGAAGGACATTCAAAAATGGCTGAAATATCTTATTCTGGACGTTTTGAAAAATCTACAGCAAAGACGGATACCAGCGGAGAGCCAAAGGTTAAATCCAAACCTCATTTAACTATAGATCAAACAGACTCTAAATCCTACAATCCAACACCTGCATTGTCAGAGAGCACAAGTGACTCAAACGTTGGGAATAAAGAGGCGGATTCTCTCCCGACAGTTTCATCACCTACTGATGAGACACCGCAGGTTAAATCACCTAACCGGACAGGCACGCGATTGAAAAAACGTCGAGGCAAAGATCCGCTGAGCCCCACTAAACAAGAAATGGGTCAAGGTAAACAGGAGGTCAAGGACAACAAGGACAAACCTCTTGTTGATGCAAGAGATGTCGTAAAGACCACAGAGCCGAGCACTTCTAATAAAGAAAGACCCAACTCTGCTGGGGAGGTCGCAAGCAAAAAACCTACAGTCCCTCCAAAGTTGGAGAAAGCAGCAGAAATTATGCATAGCACAAAGAAAAAATCTGACTCAAAGAAGACTTCACATGCGGACACAAAAGTTCCTACAGAAGTGAAAAGCAAGGATGAGGAGAGAGGGAATAGCGGTGACTTTGAAGCACAGATAGTGGCTTCTGATACACATCCTTCTATATCCAGAAAGAACAGCTCAAATAAAGAGAAGATACGGACCGACATCGACTCAAAAATGGAAGAGAAACAAAAAAACAGCAACAAAAAGCAGCACTCAGAAGGAGAGAAGGGAGACGAGCAGAGGAACAGAGACTTGATTGTAAACTCATTGTTTGGAGAGTCAGGGAAACCAGATCCATCTGTGACAAAAGATGAAAAACCACTGTCCCCAGAGGACCTGAAAGAGGCCAGATCTAAAGACTCCTCTGAGCCAGCCAATAGCAGCGCTGCACCCTTTAGGAACGATGCCATGCGAAACAGAGGGAGTGAGACGGATACGCTGGTCTTACCTGAGAAAGACACCATTGCGTTTGTGTCTATAGTGGAAAACACCCCTGAAAATAACCCAAAATCGGCACAAAGACTGTCAAAGATGAACCAAAAGAGTCAAGAAAAAGACTGTTTGACTGAGATTACCAGTCAGAACCAGAAAAACGACCTTGTTACAGAAACAACTGAGACACACAAACATAATGAATTCAATACATCAAAGCCAACCGAGCAGAAAGTAGAAGGTAAAACAAAACAAGGTAAATCGAAGGACACCTCTGCTGTGAGACAGGAAGACACAACAATTATGGCAACCAGTCAAGGTAAAGAAGCTCAGACTACTGAGAAAAACTCATGCGCTGAATTGTCCGATCAGACTAAAGAAAACACCACTTCTACAAGCAAGACACCGAAAGGACACCTCTGCTGTGAGACAGGAAGACACAACAATTATGGCAACCAGTCAAGGTAAAGAAACTCAGACTACTGAGAAAAACTCATGCGCTGAATTGTCCGATCAGACTAAAGAAAACACCACTTCTACAAGCAAGACACCGGCAACACCAAACCCTGCACTGGACCAAATGGACAGCATAATTTCACCTCAAATTGCACCTACAGAGGGAGGCGGTCCCAAAAGAGATGGGCCGCCCCCACGGAGCCAATCAGAGAGCGGAGAAGAACAGAAGACACAGACGGTATCTAGTAAAAGGGATTTACAACAGCAACAAAAGCCTGACACTGAAACTAAAAATGGAGGCACCAAAGAAACCAAGAGTAAAATCACCAGCACAGAAAAGACATCCAAAGTGAATGGCGATATACACTCTGTAGAGACAGGAGATCAGGTTTCTGACAGTCTTAAGCAGTCTGGAGAAGAAATACTTGGAAATACCTTACCTGAAATACCATCCAATAATGAAAGTCTATCTCTGAGCTCATTTTCATCTGAAGCCACTGAAGCGTCCACCGAGCAGTCTGGCCAGGTCAGTAAAAAGTTTACCGCTAAACCAGCCTCAACAGATGATACAGCCTTCAGTTTACCAGCCTCAAGTGATAACAACAACACAACTTTATCAAACTCAGCTAATAAAAAAACAACTAATGAAAAGACCACTCCCCCAGCAGCCTCACCCAATGCAACAACCACACCTGAAAAACCAACAACTATCGAAAAGACCCCACAAGCCTCAACCAATGAGAAAACCTCCACTTTACCTGCCTCAACTAAAGGAAAGACTACACCTCCACCAGCAACAACAACTGAGACAATCTCTGCTTCATTAGGCTCCAGTGATGACAAGAACAAAACTCTGCCTGCCTCAACTAATGAAACGAACAAAACTCCATCAGAGTCAGCTAACAAAAGGATGACTATCGAAAAGACCACCTCTCCACAAGCCTCAACCAACGAGAAAACCTCCACTTTACCTGCCTCAACTAAAGGAAAGACTACACCTCCGCCAGCAACAACAACTGAGACAATCTCTGCTTCATTAGGCTCCAGTGATGAGAAGAACAAAACTCTGCCTGCCTCATTTAATGAGGTCATCTCCAGTTTACTGTCCTCAACTAATGCAAAGACAACACCTCCTTCAGACTCAGCTGATAGAAAGAGAACTGATGAAAAAGATATGTATCTACTAGCATCAACTGATGAAAAGATCGCACAATCACCAGTCTCATCTAATAAAAAGATGGGCCAGGGTGTGCTGTGATTGGCTAGCTGGGCCAGTGTGTGATGTGATTGGCTAGCTGGGCCAGTGTGTGCTGTGATTGGCTAGCTGGGCCAGCGTGTGCTGTGATTGGCTAGCTGGGCCAGTGTGTGCTGTGATTGGTCAGCTGGGTCAGTGTGTGCTGTGATTTGTTTGCTGGGCCGGTGTGTTGTGATTGGTTAGATGGGCCAGGGTGTGTTGTGATTGGTCAGCTGGGCCAGTGTGTGCTGTGATTGGTTTGCTGGGCCGGTGTGTTGTGATTGGTTAGATGGGCCAGTGTGTGCTGTGATTGGTTAGATGGGCCAGGGTGTGTTGTGATTGGCTAGCTGGGCCAGTGTGTGCTGTGATGGGTCAGTGTGTGCTGTGATGGGCCAGTGTGTGCTGTGATCGGCTAGCTGGGCCAGGGTGTGTTGTGATTTCTGTTAAATAAAATATCTCCTTTTGAAGTGGACTTTGATCTTTGTAACTTTGCAGATCTTTTTATGCTCAAACAGCAACATTTTAGACTAACTAAAGTTGAAAAAGTGAAAAAAAGCATTATAGGACCCCCTTAAATTAATTTAGTTGTACTGGAGTGCGTTTTAAAAGAGAATACTATTTCAGTCTTTCTACTTCTAAATTTCTTGTTTAAATTCAATGTGTCATTTGCTGTTTTTTTTGTGTATATTTTTATTTTTTTATAATTTGTGAAAATTTTATTTGCAATTATTGATTGCAATCCTACACCAGATTTGTCCAGTGTACTCCTCAATCTCCTAATTTTAGGTTAATATTTCAATAGTTTTCCCCCATATTTTGTAAAAACTAAATTCTTTTGCAGTATTTAACTGGTAAATGAAACATTTTAAATTTTTTAACATTTTAATCACCATTGCTTTTCAGTTTATTCTACCCTAACATAAAACAAACAACCAGGCATATATACTGTATATAAAATATGAAGAGAAACATTATACTGTATATAGAAAACTAAATAATATAAAATAAAATATTTCAATAATTTAACAGCACAGTTCTTCGATGACTGTTATGAGTCACATGATATGTAAGTATACATATATGGTGTTTTATTTTTTAATTAATATTTAATTTGACATTTTAATGATTTAATTAATTATTATTAGCTATTCATCAGCTCACAATTGTTCCTCTGTGGAAAGTCACTTTATAAGCGTCTGCTAAATGCATGAATGTAAATATAACTGGAAATCCTGCCTTAATTCGTCTCGTTTAAAGCACCAGCCATAAAAACACTGAACGCTGTGCTCTGTTCAGTTGATTTTGAACTGTGTAAACATGTCTAAGAAACACAGGAGAACCCGAAACCAGCTCTCTTACTGATTTAGGAAAACCACAATAGCAGGAAATAGCAGAACCAGAACCAACTGCTTTCTAATTTAAGACAACTGAGGGCTGTAAAAGGCTTTGTTTTTCAGGATTTCTCCTCCCCTCATATGAAGATGTTTAGTGAGCCGGACTTCTCGGAGCGCGGCGTCAGCATCGACCTCCTGGAGCCGCTGGAAAATACCGCAAACACACGCTACGGCCCGCAGACGCGCTCCATCGAGGTCCTGTCCGGAGTGTGAGTCGCTTTCTTCATTCTAGAGTCCGTAAATAAAAGCTCACCTGATTTTTGTGTAAAGGGCACCGCCTTTCACAATGTATAAACATACAGGCTTGTTTAAAGTTGAAGCGCTCACACATTTTTCTAGTACAGACAGAGGCGTGTTTGTGTGTGAGACGCATGCATGCATGAAGGCAGGTCTGTATTTGTTCATGTGTGGGCGCCGCGGCTCTGTGAGTCTCATTATTTTGGGAGTTGCTGTAGTTTCGCTGCGTTGAACGTCAGTTTGGGCATCATGGAATGTGAAGCATTAAACACTGACGACCTTCGGGACGTTTCTACCCCAGAACTGCATCTGCATTCTCCTCATACTGAATCAACTGAACATTCTTGTGACGTGAATCTAGCTGCACGTTAGTTTTAAAGGAATAATCATCCTTTATTCGCCCACATGTTGCTTCAAGCCCGTATGACTGTCATTCTTCAGTAAAACAGAAAAAGAGACGTTTAGCAGAATGTTCACGCTGCTCTTTTCCACCCAGCGCTGTAGCTCTGCCACAGTGGACAGAAATGAATAAGTCTGACTGGTTTCTTGTAGGTGGGTGGCGTTCGAGGGTCCGGGGTTCTCCGGTCAGCAGTATGTTCTGGAGAAGGGTCTGTACGGAAGCCCGGAGGACTGGGGCTCATCCCACAGCCGGATCTCCTCCGCCGTCCCCGTCATTCTGGTGAGAGTCGCTCTGTAATCATGACGGAGAGCAACGGCTGATCTGATCATCAGCGATCGATCGCATGCTGAGCAGCGTCTGGAGAATACGAGGGATTGCTGACGTTTGATGAATAGAGACACATTTATATCCTTCAGAATAATGTGGGCTGATGAATCACTCGCAGTGACGGCGGCGACGGGAAATAGAATCAGTTCTGACAGTTTTGTTGACTCTATAACTGGAATATAATGAACTAAGATCAGTTATTAATGTGTATATTTAATATTTCAGGAAAATCTAGAAAACTCCTGCCACTTCCAGGTTTGTGAAATAAATTATTTTTATGTTTATTTATTATCCATATTATATGTTTTATAAATGTGTGTGTGTGTGTGTGTGTAAATGTTGTTGGTTTTATTATTATTTTGTTCATTTTTAATATATTTTCCTAATATATTCATGTATTTCATGTATTTTATTTATTGTAGTATAAAACTTTTTATATTATTTAAAATTTCTATTATATATTATTAATATTATTATTATGGTATGTTGTTCCAATTTTCCTCTTTTTGTATAAAACCATTATTATTTCATTTTATTTTGGTTTTATATGTATATATACACATGTATAGATAGATAGATAGATATAATTTAGTTCTAATTCCTTATTACAATTTTTTTTTTAAATCTAAATTATTATTATTATTATTTAGTTTTTCCTATTACTATTAATATTGTTTCTGTATATTTAAAATATATTTAGTATATATTATATATATATTCTTTTTACATATAATTAATTATAATTATATATTTTTTATAGAAATATATAGAATTTTTTATTTCTTAGTATTTTCTCATTCACTCACTCACTCACTCATTCACTCACTCACTCACACTACTGCAGCGATCATTCATGGTTTCCGGTCTAGAGGTTCACTTTAGTCACCTTTGAGTCATTTTATTACGTGCTTTTGCCATTTTTATTAGTTGATTTATTTATATATTCTTAAATATTTAGTTTAATTCGTTTTCTTATCAGTTTTAGGTTTAATAATTTTTTTATTTTAGGTTTAGTTTCTTGCCAAGGCAACATTTCAGATTTTCTCATTTTAAGTCTAATATTTATATTTTATTTCAGCTTTATTTCCATTAACAAAACCAATTTTAATAGTTTTAGTTAGTTTAGATTAGTTAGTTTCAAAGTAATTTTGAGATGTGCTTTTGGCATTTTTAGTAGTTTTTGTTTTCTTTAAATGTTTCTATATATTTAAATCTGTAGCTTTATTTTCATTTCAGTTTTAATAATTTTAAAGACTGATTTTATTTGACAGATTTTACAGTTATTTGCCAAAGAAACATTTCTTTTGTCTTTTTTTTTAATGAAACAATTTTTAATAGTTTTAGTTAGTTTAATTTTAGTTTGCTTTTTAAGTAACTTTGTGTGCTTTTTTTTTTATTAGATTGTTTTTTATATATATATATATATATATTTCTTTATGCGTCTTTAAATATTTAGCTTTAATTTATTTTCATTTCAGTTTCAGTATTTTGACTTCTGCTTTTTCAGTTACTTGTAAAGGCAGCATTTCTACATTTAGTTTTTTTTTTTTTAAGTTTACTTTTTTCATTTAATATTTATAGTTTATTTTATTTCAGATTTATTTCTGTTAGCAAAATAATTTTAATAGTTTTAGTTTTAGCTCACAACAATTTTTCATATTTTCCATTTTAATTTTAGGCTAATGTTTTAGTAATTTTGTTGCATGTTTTATTTGTCGTTGTTTTTTTTATTATAGCTTTGTAGTTTTTATAAATTTTTATTTCAGTTTTAAGTACATCAAGTTAAACTACATGAATATGAGAAGTGTTAGCTGTTTTTCATTTTATTTCCATGAATAACTTTTGTATGGTTTTGGTGTTAGTTTTAACGTTTAAACACGACACGACACACAACACGACACGACACACAACACACGACACGACACGACACGACACGACATGACACACAACAACACACGACACGACATGACACGACACAACAACACACGACACGGCACGACATGACACACAACAACACACGACACGACATGACACGACACAACAACACACGACACGGCACGACATGACACACAACAACACACGACACGACATGACACGACACAACAACACACGACACGGCACGACATGACACACAACAACACACGACACGACATGACACGACACAACAACACACGACACGGCACGACATGACACACAACAACACACGACACGACATGACACGACACAACAACACACGACACGGCACGACATGACACACAACAACACACGACACGACATGACACGACACAACAACACACGACACGGCACGACATGACACACAACAACACACGACACGACATGACACGACACAACAACACACGACACGGCACGACATGACACACAACAACACACGACACGACATGACACGACACAACAACACACGACACGGCACGACATGACACACAACAACACACGACACGACATGACACGACACAACAACACACGACACGGCACGACATGACACACAACAACACACGACACGACATGACACGACACAACAACACACGACACGGCACGACATGACACACAACAACACACGACACGACATGACACGACACAACAACACACGACACGGCACGACATGACACACAACAACACACGACACGACATGACACGACACAACAACACACGACACGGCACGACATGACACACAACAACACACGACACGACATGACACGACACAACAACACACGACACGGCACGACATGACACACAACAACACACGACACGACATGACACGACACAACAACACACGACACGGCACGACATGACACACAACAACACACGACACGACATGACACGACACAACAACACACGACACGGCACGACATGACACACAACAACACACGACACGACATGACACGACACAACAACACACGACACGGCACGACATGACACACAACAACACACGACACGACATGACACGACACAACAACACACGACACGGCACGACATGACACACAACAACACACGACACGACATGACACGACACAACAACACACGACACGGCACGACATGACACACAACAACACACGACACGACATGACACGACACAACAACACACGACACGGCACGACATGACACACAACAACACACGACACGACATGACACGACACAACAACACACGACACGGCACGACATGACACACAACAACACACGACACGACATGACACGACACAACAACACACGACACGGCACGACATGACACACAACAACACACGACACGACATGACACGACACAACAACACACGACACGGCACGACATGACACACAACAACACACGACACGACATGACACGACACAACAACACACGACACGGCACGACATGACACACAACAACACACGACACGACATGACACGACACAACAACACACGACACGGCACGACATGACACACAACAACACACGACACGACATGACACGACACAACAACACACGACACGGCACGACATGACACACAACAACACACGACACGACATGACACGACACAACAACACACGACACGGCACGACATGACACACAACAACACACGACACGACATGACACGACACAACAACACACGACACGGCACGACATGACACACAACAACACACGACACGACATGACACGACACAACAACACACGACACGGCACGACATGACACACAACAACACACGACACGACATGACACGACACAACAACACACGACACGGCACGACATGACACACAACAACACACGACACGACATGACACGACACAACAACACACGACACGGCACGACATGACACACAACAACACACGACACGACATGACACGACACAACAACACACGACACGGCACGACATGACACACAACAACACACGACACGACATGACACGACACAACAACACACGACACGGCACGACATGACACACAACAACACACGACACGACATGACACGACACAACAACACACGACACGGCACGACATGACACACAACAACACACGACACGACATGACACGACACAACAACACACGACACGGCACGACATGACACACAACAACACACGACACGACATGACACGACACAACAACACACGACACGGCACGACATGACACACAACAACACACGACACGACATGACACGACACAACAACACACGACACGGCACGACATGACACACAACAACACACGACACGACATGACACGACACAACAACACACGACACGGCACGACATGACACACAACAACACACGACACGACATGACACGACACAACAACACACGACACGGCACGACATGACACACAACAACACACGACACGACATGACACGACACAACAACACACGACACGGCACGACATGACACACAACAACACACGACACGACATGACACGACACAACAACACACGACACGGCACGACATGACACACAACAACACACGACACGACATGACACGACACAACAACACACGACACGGCACGACATGACACACAACAACACACGACACGACATGACACGACACAACAACACACGACACGGCACGACATGACACACAACAACACACGACACGACATGACACGACACAACAACACACGACACGGCACGACATGACACACAACAACACACGACACGACATGACACGACACAACAACACACGACACGGCACGACATGACACACAACAACACACGACACGACATGACACGACACAACAACACACGACACGGCACGACATGACACACAACAACACACGACACGACATGACACGACACAACAACACACGACACGGCACGACATGACACACAACAACACACGACACGACATGACACGACACAACAACACACGACACGGCACGACATGACACACAACAACACACGACACGACATGACACGACACAACAACACACGACACGGCACGACATGACACACAACAACACACGACACGACATGACACGACACAACAACACACGACACGGCACGACATGACACACAACAACACACGACACGACATGACACGACACAACAACACACGACACGGCACGACATGACACACAACAACACACGACACGACATGACACGACACAACAACACACGACACGGCACGACATGACACACAACAACACACGACACGACATGACACGACACAACAACACACGACACGGCACGACATGACACACAACAACACACGACACGACATGACACGACACAACAACACACGACACGGCACGACATGACACACAACAACACACGACACGACATGACACGACACAACAACACACGACACGGCACGACATGACACACAACAACACACGACACAACAACACACGACACGACACGACACAACAACACACGACACGACACGACAGCACACGACACGACACACAACAACACACGACACGACAACACACGACACGACACAACAACACACGACACGACACAACACAACACAACACAACACAACACAA